AAAGAAAGCACTCATCAGGAAAAAAATAAAAGGATAGGGGAGGTAGCTCGGAAGGCAGGAGCAGGAAGATGGGAGCAAATGCTTTGCATGTGAGGGTTCTTGGTTGCATCACCAGATCCGCTTGGTCCCCTAAGCTCCAGTAAGAGTAGACCCTGAGCACTGTGCCAGGAGTAGCCCTGGGGAATCACCAAATAAATACAAACCCGGGGAGGGCGCACAGGTGTTAGGAGCACCTGGGCTTGATCTAGTTCAATTCCACAGCACATGCCACAGCACAGCATGGCCAGGTATAGCCCTGGAGACCCCAGGCAACACCTGTATGGCCCTAGTGGCCCCCTATTTCCTCCAGGGTGGCCCTGAAGGTCCCCAGCACCGCAGGGCCCAAGCAGCACCCCATCATTGGACCCTCCCACTGAACCACCCAAACTGGTTGGCCAGGAAATTGCCCGGCGTGGCCCCAGGGCCCTGCCGCTCTGGACCCAGATACATCACAAACACGGACCGGCTCCTCCAAGGACAGGAAGTAGCATCTGTGCCCACTAGGTCATGATAAACCAAAGCTCAGGGACCATCTGTGGGGGCCAGCTCCAGTACCCCAGGAACTGCAGAGTATCCCATAATTTGTGGGCAGCCCCTCTCGCCCTCGGGCAGGAGCAGCCCACCTGCCTCTGGTCCCAGCTCTGCTCATGTGGCTTCTCCATCCATCGTTCAAGAAGCGTTCACAGTCTGCACCAGGCGCGGCCACAGCTGGGGATGCTGGGGGCGGGGTGGGGGGGCTACCTCCCAGGGCATGTTTGCTGGAGAAAGAGTGATTGCTGGTGGGGCCGGGGAACATATGAAGACTCTCCCCCAGCTCTGGATCACCACGCAGTGAAACGCACCGCCCAAGTCCTGCTTGAGCTCTGCAGGGCGGGCACCTGTCCCAGGTAGTTGTGATGGCAAACTGTGAGCCCCGGGAGGAGGTCCTTAGGGTCAGCTGAAGAGGGGCAGGAGCCCAAGCATGCAGGAGGGGGCAGGGTCTGAGCACAGCGTGACCCCCTGACCCTCCCAGCTGCGGAGACTTCACCAGGAGACCCATCGCTGCGAAGCTGTCCCTGATCCGGTTTCAGTCGTACCATGTCGAGCGCCCATCATTTCACCAGTGTCCACTCCTCTCTGCCCAGCTTCCCTCCCACCGCAGCCTGCCACTCTGGCGGCCACTGTGTTTCCTTTTTCCATTTAGGCTCTGTGGTTTGCGATTCTATTACGGGACGAGTGTCCTGCGCATCACACTTCCTCTCTCGGCACACAGTTCTTTTTCTTTGAAGACTCTTTTGTTTTTTAAATTTTTTTTTTTTTGCTTTTTGGGTTACACCCAGTGATGCTCAGGGGTTCCTCCTGGCTCTGGACTCAGGAATTACTCCTGGCGGTGCTTAGGGGACCATATAGGACGCTGGGGATTGAACCCAGTTCAGCCGCATGCAAGGCAAATGCCCTACCCAGTTCTTGCCTGGAGTGACACTTCCTGCTCTCAGGGTCATTGTGGGTCCTTCTCTGCTCCGCCGTGTGGTTCTGAGGCCTCCCTGGCACTGAATCTGTTGGCACTGGTGCGGTGACATGACAGAAGCAACATTCCAACCCGGATGATGGGAGACAGACAGGCTTGGCCATTTGGTCACAGAGCTCCAGGACTCACTGGGGGCAGGGGACGGGGGCGGATGGCTCAAAGGTTTTGCATGCAGGAGCCCCAGGTTTGGTCCCTGGTACCCCAAGCACCAAGCATGGTCCTCTGAGCACCATCAAAAGTGATCCCCAATGAGGCCGGAGCAATAGCACAGTGGGGAGGGCATTTGCCTTGCACGTGGCCGACCCAGGTTCAATTTCCAGAATCCCATATGGTCCCCTGAGCACTGCCAGGAGTAATTCCTGAGTGCAGATCCAGGAGTAACCCCTGAGCATCGCTGGGTGTGACCCAAAAAGAAAAAAAAAGTGATCCCCGAGCACTGAGTGCCAAGAGTAGCCCCAGAGCACCGCCAGGCGTACCACTCCCATCCCCTGCCCCACCCACGCCTGACAAGCCCTCACATTTTGAATACTTATCTGCGTTTTTTTCCCAAAGGAACACATTCTGCAAATGCGGCTTTGTGACTGAGCATACCAGGATGGTGACAGTGATGCCCACAAGAACCTACGGCAGAATCCACGTCAGTCATGCAAGGTTGCTTATATGGTTCATCTGGGACTGATGCCAGTGCCTAGACCCGCCTGCCTGGGACACTGGGTCCCCCACGCCCAGGGACAGGGGAGCATTTTTAGGGCACAAGTCTGGGCTTCTCCCTCTTCCAATGTCCGATGCCCAAGGAAGAAGCAACACCCCCCTCAAAATCAAGTTTGGGTGCAGGAGAGGATGGGGTGTGTCCTCTTGGTATTTGCCTTTCTGCACTCATGGACTCGGGATCTCGACCCACAGGGCCCGTGGGGAGTGCGTGAGTGACCTGTGTCTTCTCTGAGCATGTCTCTGGACAGGAGTAACCTGGTTCCCGCCCACTGTGCCCATGGTGACAATTTTCTCCCAGAAGAAAGAACCGAATGGAGCAGGAAGTCAAGACCAAAGGCCAGGGGAGCGACGTCTCAGAGGCTAACATGCCTGTCCAGCAAGCATGAGGCCTTGAGTTCAATTCCTGGGGCCACCCAGTGCCAGGCACTGTCCCGGCATCTCTGCTGTCAGGACTCCCCAGGGCCTTGGGCAGTTTCCCTCTGAAGCCCGGCCGGATAGGTGCACATGAGCCTCGCAATAAAGGAGCATGACAGCCCCTCTCCATCCCGGTGAGCAGCAGAATGTTGGAGGCCACCCTGGGCAAGTCACTGTCACAGCTTCCCACATCTCGGGGGCTCTGCCCCTCGTCTGGGTCATGGTTCCCTCAAATGAGGAGGAGGAAAACTTCGTCAAACACTCAATGTTCCTGGGATCTTGAGGGAGTGTGCTGCAGACGATGGATGCCAAATGCCCTTGTCCTCCTTGGCCACACCCCCTGAACCGTGACCTTGGCAGCAAATGACCTGGATTGTTCACATTCTCCAAACTCCTTTTTCCACCCCAACAAGGGAACCCAAGGTTGAAAAGCCCATGTGCGCATCACACAGGGTTTAGACACAGAGGCCGAAGGAACTTTGTTTCGAAATCTCTGTTTCCTTTTGAGACTGTCCAGTGCTCAGGGGCAACTCCCTGCTCTGGGCTTGGGAATCACTCCCCCAGTGCTCAGTTGTGATGTGGGGCTCGAACTCGGGCCTTTAGCAAGCAAAGCACGTGCCCAGCCCTCTGAGCTGTCTCTCCGATTGGAATATGGGGAACTTGTGGTCAAAGGTGTCGCAGATGGTAGTGGGGCATTTCCCCTGTGTGCTGATAGATTACACACCTCTGCCATCAGGCTACCAGGATGTTACAGCTCTAGTCTCAGCTTTCGGGGCGAGTCCCTGTCTATGGCAGAGACTGAAGTGGCTTCTGAGTGGGACGCCCATAGACACGGCACCAGTGACCCTGATAGCCGAGGTGTTCGTTCAACAGTTTCAAATTTCACTGGAAGCAGCTCACTTTCTCATCTGATTTCTCTTTCTTTCCTTCTCTTTTCTTTCTTCCCTTTCTTCATTTCTTTCCTCTCTTCTTTCTTTCCTCTTTCTTTCTTTCATCCTTTCTTTCTCTCTTTCTTTTCTTTCTCTTTCCCTCGTTTTGTTTTGTTTTGGGGGCACACCTGGTTTTATGCACAGACTTTACTTTGTGAAGCAAGTTCTGAGCACTGCCAAGTGTGAGTGAAAAACAACCCCCCCAAAAAAAGTAAAAAAGACCAAAAAAAAGAGAAAAGTTTTATTAAATGAAAAATAAATACAGAAATTGCAAAGTGGCGTGAGGGAACCAAATTCACCCTGTACCTTGCTTAGCCAGGTAAGATGGGGATTAAGAATTTATAGATTTATATCTATGTAATGTGCTTAAACAACATGTCTATCATGGCAATGTTGGTTACGTCCCTATCATTGCCGCTGTTACAAGATTTAGGTGTCCCCTGCTCTTTAGTTTGCCATACTCCCCACCACTCCCTCTTGTCCCGCACCCAGCCTGGCTCCGGGGGAGCCCCAGGTGGAAGGTCTGGTTCGCATCCCCAGGCCCTGCCTGCCCTCTGTCTTCATCATGCCTGGCTGGTGACAATGAGCGTCACCCAGCAGTGAGGATTATAGTCCCGGACCCTCCCAGCCTCTCACCCAACGAGGCACACGCAGGCCGCAGGGCTCAGACCCCAAGTGTCAGCGGACTCCAGGCCCTTGTTTACCTCCCAAGTTTACTTGGAGATGGGGACGCGGAGAAGACTTGCCCCAGGGTCCCTGACTCCCCTCCCAGAGCTGGGGAGCTCCAGTTGCTCCTCTCCGTGCTGAGAAAGGAACCCGCACACCCGCCAAGACAGAACTGCAGCCGAGGACTTCGCAGGTGCTCATGAGGCGTGTTTTATTACCACCAGGATGATCAGCATTGACAAGGGAAAGTGCCAGGGGGACCCCGACAAACCAGACTTCAGGACCGCGCGAACACACCCCTGCATGCATTGATCCCCAGAGCCGCCAGGGGGCGCGCCTCCCACAAAGCCATGCCCAGCAAAGGGCCAATTCTGCTGTTGCGTGGTGGCGCCGGCTTCTGTTCCAGAGGCTTCTGCCCGGTTCTGGGGATCCCTTGGAAGACACGAGGGTCGCCTTAGCCAGGGCTGAGGAACGAGGAAAGGGGGCTGCCGGGGTAGGGAGAGATGCAGCGGTGCGAAGTGGGGTAAACTGGAGAATTCTACCTCAGCCTGGCTTTATCAAATCCCCGGAGGGGCAAAGCCAGGTGTGTGTGTGTGTGTGTGTGTGTGTGTGTGTGTGTGTGTGTGTGTGTGTGTGTGTGTGCTCAGCTGAGGACAGGGAAGACTTGGGGTCACCAAGCAGGGAGGGCACACAGGACGTTCTTAGGCCCCAAACTCCCTGTCACAGGGTGCTGCTCACGCCTGCAGGGTTGCCCTCCGGCCTGGGTGCTGCCTCTTGCTCTCGGCAACCCCGTCCCGACCCAGGCCCGCCAGGAGCCCCAGCAGGAGGCGGGCTTGTCCGCAGGCCCGCCAGGGCCCACACGCGCCGCCCAGGGCCCTCTTGCCCGGGTGCTGGCGTTTCTCCGTCCCCCGCTCCCCCTCCTCCTCCTCCCCCTCCTCCTCTTCCTTCTCGGCTCCTTCTTGGGCCTGGAGCTCCGCCAGCCGACGACCGGGGTGCTGCCTTTTGGTGACCATGTCCCTGAGCCAGGAGGACCGCCGGCCAGGGTGCTGGCGCTTCTGCTGGGGGGCGTCCACGGACCCTGCGGGGGCATCTTCCCGCCGGCCAGGGTGCTGGCGCTTGACGGGTCCCACAGCACCTGCTTCTTCCTCCTCTTCCTCTGCCATTCCTTCTTCCTCCTCGGCCGCCTCCCTTTTGCCCGGGTGCTGCCGCTTGGAGACCCAGCGGGGCTGAGAGATCTGGAACTCTGGGGAAGGAGCAAGACACCATGTGACCCTGTGGGCCCACCCCAGGCAGCCCCCGGAGCCAGAGCCGTGGCCCTGGTCTGTGCCTCTCAGGACGGACACGCTCAATAACAGGGGTCAAAGGCCTCTGCCTTCAACCCCTGCTCTGTTGGTGCTGTGGCTGTGTGACCAACAGTGGTTCACTTAACCTCTCTGCTGTTCTGTGTAAATCAGCCATCACTATGCTGGGGAGATCAGAGAGGGTGACATGGTGTTTGAGAGGCTTAATGCAGTGCCAGGCCTAAGGGGTCCCTAAGCTTGTCACACAAGGTGTCACCCCCTTCTTTACCCCGGCGCAGAATTGTTTCCGGGGAGCAGCATGAGGAATCTTCCTGGGAAGAGGCTCCTGAGCTGTGAGGCTTGAGCTGGGACCCCCCCCTCATCCTCCTACCCTGGGGGGCACAGCAGCCCCCTTTACAGGCCCCAACCCACTCCCACCGGCTTACCAGATTCAGCGTCGCCCTGGTCTGCATGCAGTTGCAGAAGGTCTTCCCGGAGGAGCAAGAGGTGTTCTGCCTGGCGCAAAAGTTCTGCCAGGTCTGGGGGCTCGGCCAGCCCCACCTCCTGCTGGGCCACCTCAGGCTGAGCACGGCCAGGGACACCGGCCAGCGCCAGGGCCAAGACGACCATCATCCAGGGGCCCTGCATGGTGGCTTCTGGGTTCTGGAGTGGGGGGGGAGTGGCGGGAGGAGGCAGAGGGAGAGAGGGAGAGAGGGAGGGACAGAGAGAGATTGTACCCCCAGCCTCCATCTCTTCTTCATCTCCCTCTGTGCTCTCCCAACAGGCTCCAGTCCGGAGCCCAGAGTGCAGGGAGCAAAGTGGTCAAACTGCGGGTGCAGAGCTGGACCCTTGTCCCCCTGGAGGCAGAGACCAGAGGACCGCTCCTAGCCACTCTGGACCCCCCATAGGGGTCCTGCCTGTGCCGTCCGGGTGAGCGGGAGCCCCTCCCCCGCCCCTGCCCAGGTCGCGCAGAGCCGGTGGGGGGCGGTGGGTGGTCCAGAGTCTGCTGTAAACTAAGGCCCACCCCACCCCCAAATTCCCACCGACGTTCCAGTCCCAACGCCGGCTCCAGCGTCCTGGTTCTGCGCTAAGACGCGGACCCTACAACCCTCGGGCTACGCTAGGACCAGGGCAGCGCTAAGATGCTGGACTCGAGGTTCTGTCTGGGGGCAGCGAGGGGTGTCAGGATCCAGGTCGGGGGTCTCGTCCGCGCGCAGCGGCTTCATCACCCGCCGAAATTCTTGCAGCCAGGCGAGCGCTCTGCTCCAGACGGCGGGGTCGGACGTCAGCCGCCGGGCTCTCCCGCCCGTCTAGTCCCGCGCCCCCAAAGTCCGGGCGCCCACCCGGAGCCGGCGTCGCGACAGGAGGGGGTCCCAAAGCCGCTCGGCCCGCGCTGGCTCCGCAGCCGGGGACCGCGCGCCCAGGGCGCACCAGGCGGGTGCAGAGGGTGGCCCCCGGGGGCGCTGGGAGAGCCCCGGGGGTGGGGTGGGGTGGGGGAGAGAGCAGCCCGGTCCTCCCGCATCTTCCCGCATCCCCCCCGCGGGCAGGGATGCTCCGGGCCCGTTACCTGGCGCGTCCGGGGTCCGGGGGTCGCCGGCGCGGGCTGCGGGCTCCTCGGCGCGACCGCCGCTTATATGCGCCCGAGGAGGCGGCGGCGTCGCCGGTGAGGTCAGCGGGGAGGGGTCGCCGACACGGGGGCGCTGACGGCAGCACCGGAAATCTGGGGCGGGGGCGGAGGGGGAGCGGGCGGGCGCGAGCCCCGGGGTGGGGTGCGGGATCGCGGGGGCCGCTCACCCAGCCCCGCGGCGCCGGGAAGGCTCGGCGGGGAACGAAGACGGAGACCGGAGCGGATCAGCGGATCGATAGCACCGTCAGAGAGAGAAGGGACGGTGGGGGGCGGACGAAGGAAGGCCGAGGGAGCGAGGGGACGGGGAGGCAGAGAGAGCGGGGGCAGCGGGGAGAGGCAGCCCCCGGAACGGGTCGGGAGGGGCGCCCAGAAAGCTGGGACGGGGCACCCCGCGCCGCCCCCTCGCTGGAGCCCCATCTTATCACCGGGGCAACGGGAGGGACCGTCTTGAGAACGGCCGACACTGGTGGCCTGTGGGCGCCCACGGGTCGGGAAAGGGCAGCGGGGCCTTTGGGGATGCGGCTTCTCTGGGGGGGCTCTGGGGCAGAGCAGAACTGTCTCCCCACTCCCCTCTCCACGGTCTCGGGTGCCCCACTCGCCCACGAGGGACCTGGAGGTTTGGGCCCTCCCTCCGTGAGAAGTTTATTAGGATCAGTTCTGCCACATCCACAAAGGGAATAAGGGACAGGGAAGGAGCCCAGTCGCTGAAAAGCTTCCCTTTGTAACAGCCAGGGCACCCGCAAGGGGCCTGGCACCTTCTGGGGTTCTAGACACCCAAGTTAGCCAGGCCAGGCTAGGAGAGGCAGCAAGAGATGCCCAAAGGGCTGGGTTGCGAGAGTGCATAAAGCACAGTAGAAATGACATCTGCACCTGCTTTATGTTCACTGTTCACAGTAGCCAGAATCTGGAAACAACCCGAGTGCCCGAGAACAGACATCTGGTTAAAGACACTTTGGAACATCTACACAAATGGAATACTATACAGCTGTTAGGAAAGATGAATTTATGAAATTCGCTTAATAAGTGGATGGTCACGGAGAGTATCATGCTAAGTGAAATGAGTCCGAAAGAGAGGAACAGACATAAATGACCACACTCATTTGTGGACTATAAAATAACAGAAGATGAGACTGACACCCAAGGACAGTGGACACAAGGGCCAGGAAGATTGCCCCATAATTGGAATCCTGCCTCATGAGCTGGGGGAGAAGGCAGCAGGGGTAGAGAAGGGATCAGCAAGTCAATGATGGTTGGAGGGATCGCTCAGAATGGGAGATGTGTGCTGAAAGTAGATAAAGGACCAAACGTGATGGCCTCTCAGTATCTGTATTGCAAACCATAATGCCCAAAAGTAGAGAGAGAGTAAGAGGGAAACTGTCTGCCATGGAGGCAGGGGGAGGGTGGGAAAGGGGGCTGTATACTGGGGACATTGGTGGTGGAGAATGTGCACTGGTGGAGGGATGGGTGTTCGATCATTGTATGACTGAAACTCAAACATCAAAGTTTTGTAACTTTATCTTAGGGTGATTCAATTAAAAAATTGGGGGGAGGGGCTGGGCTGTTACTCCTGCCCTGGACAGAGCACTCACCTTCCTGCTCGCCACTCCGGTCTCACTGTGTCCTGGCACCTCCTCGAGAGAGGCGGGTACGCCCATGCCCCTTCCAGACACAGAGGCCAGGGGAGATCGGGAGCTTTAGTTTTTTTTTGTTTTTTTTTTTTAATTTTATTGAATCACCGTGAGACAGTTACAAGCTTTTATGTTTGGGTTACAATCACACAACGATCAAACACCCATCCCTCCACCAGTGCACGTTCCCCACTATCAATATCCCTGGTATACCCCCCTTTCCCACACTCCCCTTGCCTCCATGGCAGACAATAATCCCCATAATCTCTCTCTACTTTTGGGCATATGGTTTGCAATACAGACACTTGAGAGGTCATCATTTTTGGTTCTTTATCCACTTTCTGCACACATCTCTCATCCCGACCGGTTCCTCAAGCCATCATTTTCTTAGTGACTATGATCTTACTTATATATTATCAATCCCTATTAAATTCAAGTGCAACTGATCCAACTTAAATTCTCTATAGGCTAACAGGACTAGAGAAAGAATCATTTGGAACAATTCTAATTGTCTGAGATGAGGAGAAGTGTCCCCAGGACACTAAAATTCAGTCCTAAGGAAACAGGGGCGGGTTCTTTAGTTTTTATTTTGATTTTGGGTCACACCCAACTTTGCTCAGGAATCACTCCTGGTGGTGTCTGAGAGACCGTATGTGGTGCCCGGAGTTGTATGCGGCCATACATGCAGGCAGGTGCCCTACCCGCTGCCCCGACTCTCCGGCCCCAGGAGTGTAATTTTGAAGGCCAGAGGTGGAGGGCATTTTAGGATCACCAGCTGGACTTCTCCCCTTGCTTGCAGCCGGAGAAGCTGAGTTATATTGGCCTCCGACTTGGCCACCATCGTTTCTACTCCCTAGAAACAGAGGGTGAGCTGGGGCAATTGAAAACCCGAATCTCAGGCTTGCCCTTCCCAGGGTTGGGGTGGGGGGGTCCCACCATCCTTGTGGTGCGTATGAAAGCACTTGAACTGAGAATTCCGCTGCAGTGAGCCATGGAGTATACACTGGCTGCAACCGGAAGTGTCGACCTTGCAACCGGAAGTATCAACCTTGCAGCCTGAAGTGTCAACCTTCCACATGTTGATTCTGTTTTTCGGAATTTCACCTTCAGAGATCCACACCCAAGCATGAGGGTGGACTCACAAGGTGTCCACTGCTTAAATCGACCAGGGTCATCCCAAACCATGGACACTGTTCTGCCTTCAGAAGAATGAGTCGGTTTCATGCATCCTGAGGTGAAATAAACTCCGAGAATCATGGTTGCAGGAAAGAAACAGAGCAGAGAGCTACATGCAAAGCATTCCTGTGTGATGGTAGTGGCGGCGGTGGGCGGCCTGTCCCACCCTTCTGCAGAGGCTCTCTCTGGAGGGCTGCCCGTGAGCACAGTGCAGAAAGGGGAGTGGGGAAGGAGAGGCACAGGAGGGGTCCTGGGGTCCACAGTCAGCCCTGAGTGCTGGGCTTTCCCTATGCCGCATGACTTACACATCAGCCGGCCAACTATGCCAAAAGACAAAACAGGGTCCAGGCGGGAACTCAGCAGCCTGGAAAGCACGTGTCCCATTCTGGGCTGCCTCGTGGGCAGAGCCCCAAGGGGGCCCCCTGGCATGGATTAGTTGGTGGGACAAGTGCTGGGGTGACCTCGTTTGACAGGGGGCTTCTCTAATGCTGGGCTGAAGTGGAACGCCACCATCGTCTTCCTTCCCACTTTTGTCATTAAATAAATACTGGGTATTTATTTATTTATTTATTTATTGGGGCTGGAGCAATAGCACAGCGGGTAAGGCGTTTGCCTTGCATGCGGCTGATCTGGTGGGCCCAGGTTCGATTCCTCCACCCCTCTCGGAGAGCCCGGCAAGCTACTGAGAGTATCTTGCCTGCACAGCAAAGCCTGGCAAGCTACCCATGACGTATTCGATATGCCAAACACAGTAACAACAAGCCTCACAATGGAGACGTTATTGGGCCCACTCGAGCAAATCGATGAACAACGGGGCTGGAGTGATAGTTCAGCAGGGAGAGCGTTTGTCTTGCATGCGGCTGACCCCAGTTCAATTCCCAGCATCCCATACGGTTCCCTGAGCACTGGCAGGAGTGATTCCTCGGTGCAGAGCCAGGAGTAACCCCGAGCATGGCCAGGTATGACCCAAAAAACAAAATAATAATAATAATAATAATTTTATTGAATCACAGTGATAGACACAGTTCCAAAGTTGTTCATGATTAGGTTTCAGTCATATAAAGTTCCAACACCTGCCCCTACACCAGTGCACATTTCCTACCACCAATGGTCTACACTGGTATTCAGCTCCCCTTTATGGGCTGGTTTTATTTTTGGTTTTGGAGCAGCGCCGCGCAGTACTTAGGGTTTATTCCTGGCTCTGCGCTCAGGGATCATTCCAGCTGTGCTCAAGGGACCATCTGCGATGCAAGCGCCTTGCCCACTAGACTGTCTCCCGGGCTCCGCCTCCCACCCCAGCCTCTGCTTCCTGAGAAAGGCTCGTGCCTCCTGCAGAGGATCCAGTTCCTGACCCAGAGCCACAAAGATGGGCTGAATGATTCCATGATCAAATGCATCAGGCCCCTAGCACGTCACCCCAATCTGCCCAGCCCCATCTTTGCAGTGAGATGGCTCGAGCGAGGGCAGCCTCCCTCTGCCCCGTTAGGCCTCAGAGAGGCGAGATGTGTGTGAGACCATGGAGGGTCCTACCTAAGAGCTGTGCAGAGAATCCCAAAGACAAATGAAAGTGAAAGAAATGAAATGAAAAGAAAAAGCTCGGGCTGGAGCGATAGCACAGCGGGTAGGGGTTTGCCTTGCACATGGCCGACCTGAGTTCGATTCCCAGCATCCCATATGGTCCCCTGAGCACTGCCAGGAGTAACTCCTGAGTGCAGAGCCAGGAGTAACCCCTGTTTATCGCTGGAATTGGGGAAGTTTTTTGGAAAACTCTCCCTTTCTCCCCACCTCCATAGAATCTCAGAATCTGACCTGTAGGGTTTAAGTTCGAGACACTGTGGAGGAAGCAGAGGGGACAGCAGGTATGTGGAGATCTGTGTGTGAGGGACATATATATTCCAGGAGCATTCTGAGAAGACTTCCTGGAGGCAGAGGCAGGAAAACTAGACCCTGATAAAGAGAATTAGAACGAACAGGATTGGCAGCAGATGAGCCCAGGCCGATGGACGAGGGGCCTGCTTCCTCTCCCCTTCCTGTATCTGCTCATCCCTTGCCTCCCTCTCCAGAGGGGCTCTGTCCAGGGACCACAGAGACTGTCCACCTCAGGCAGAATCCACACTCTCCGGGCCCAGGGCCAGGCCAGGCTTCTCTATGCACCATCTGGGCGGTCAAATCTAGATGAAGTCGTGAGCCCCCCACCAGCCCAGGGCCCCCTTGGCGATCTCCCATTCGTGCTGAGCTGCCAACTGCAGACGCGTGTGGTCCAGATTGTTCCAAAGAGC